ATCTGAGTCCAACAATGTTCCTATTAAATTAGCCACTGGGTTTTGTTGTGTTGTGTGAGTCTTTTGGAATGATAAATAAGAGGCTTCCTTTCCTTCTCTGGAAACACAATTCAACTGGGGAAGAAATTCAGTTTCTTAAAGTTCTCCATAGTTTAATACCCATACTTAGATTCCTTAGTCTAAATAGAAACAAAGGCAAATCTAGTTCACATATAAGGCAGTTAGAAAAGGAAGCACATGTAAGGTAGTCTGGGTCTAAAAAATGTACCACAAACACAAAAACTATAACTACTTTTATAATTTTATTTTTCAACGTATCAGCCTTGGAGAAACACCCTGAGTGTAGGTTGTTGCTGGCAGGTGCTCTTAATTAAGGAAATAACTGATTAGAGATGGACAAGAAAGGTTGAATCAGAAACTAAGTGCTTTTAAGATTGACTTTATATATATAAAAGGCTAAGTGTCCATCCTTCCCTCTGACCAGTAGCTATGACACGCACTGACCACCAGGGGCCAGACACTAAACGCAGGAGCTGCCATGATGCGCACTGGCCATTTAAAAATAAACAGCACCACGGACCTGGCACCAACAAACCAACACTCAGCTTCCCCCAGTGGGACACAGGCCCCACCACTACCCCGGAGCAACACCCCACCAAATCGCAGCCGAAGCTGCCAAGACCCCATGGCGCAAAATGCGGCCCACAGCCCAGCCCAGCTCAAATGTGGTTGCTGTGGGCGCCAGGTAATGACGTCACGTACAACACCCTAGTGACTAGCCTCCTTGCAGTTTCTTCAGCCCAGGAACCTGACTTGCTTTATAGACAGGTGCAAACATTTTATAGTTTAACCAAATGTTTGTGAAGCATTTTCACGTGCCTCATCTCATTTGATCCTCACAGAAGACCTGGGGTAGGTAGATAGGAGACTCAGTAGAATCCTGATCGTGAATTTGGTTGATACTTTTATTATAGGGAAAGGGCGAATAGCGATATTAAAATATTTCTTCTAATTAATTTCTTTCCAATGTGCATGAATCCGTGCACTGGGACACTCATTAAAATATAAAATGGGCCCTAACCGGTTTGGCTCAGTGGATAGAGTGTCAGCCTGTGGACTGAAGGGTCCCGGGTTCGATTCCAGTCAAGGGCACGTACCTTGGTTTCGGGCACATCCCTAGTGGGGGGTGTGCAAGAGGCAGCTGATCGATATTTCTCATCGATGTTTCTAACTCTCTATCCCTCTCCCTTCCTCTCTGTAAAAAATCAATAAAATATTAATATATATAATGGTTGCTCTGGTGCCCTAGCTGGTTTGGCTCACTGGATAGAGCATCAGCCTGCAGACTGAAGGGTCTCAGGTTCCATTCTGGTCAAGGGCACGTGTAGGGAGCGGCTATAGCAGGGGTGGGCAAACTTTTTGACTCGAGGGCCACAATGGGTTCTTAAACTGGACCAGAGGGCTGGAACAAAAGCATGGATGGAGTGTTTGTGTGAACTAATATAAATTCAAAGTAAACATCATTACATAAAAGGGTACAGTCTTTTTTTTTTTTTTAGTTTTATTCATTTCAAACGGGCGGATCCGGCCCGCGGGCCGTAGTTTGCCCACGGCTGGGCTATAGGGTTAAGCCTCAGACTGACCTGTTGGCAAAGCCACAAACAAGTCCCAGCTTAGAGGACACAGCCCTCTTAGCATAATTAGGCTTGACCTTGCTCCCTAGATCTTACCTGGGTAGCTAATGGGCTGTGGGAGATGCAGCAAGTGCTGCCAAAACAAGTGAAACTCACAAGAACATTGTAACTATGGTGACCACTACCTTGTTTAGCTCTGGCTATAAAATAAAGGCTCAGCTTGCTGTCTGGTTCTCTCTCTGTGGCCTCAGCCAGGCACAGGAAGATCCACCTAGACCCAGCTTGTTCTCTCTGTCTTTTCTACATCTTTTGCCGCCCGCCCTGAAGCTCACCTAACCCTTGGCTGAGCTGGCCTGGCACAGGCACGTACCTAGGTTGCAGGCTTGATCCCTGGCCCTGGTCTGGGTGCCTGGGGAGGCAACCAATCAATGTGTCTCTCCATTCAATGGAAAAATATCCTTGGGATTAACAAAAAATAAAAATATAGCCCTGGCTGGTTTGGCTCAGATAGAGCGTTGGCCTGTGGACTGAAGGGCCCTGAGTTCGATTCCCTGTCAGTGGCACATGCCCAGGTTGCAGGCTTGATCCCCAGTGAGGTGTGCAGTAGGCAGCTGTTCAATGATTCTCTCTCATCATTGATATTTCTATCTCTCTCTCCCCCTTCCTCTCTGAAATCAATAGAAATATATGTTTAAAAAATATATATATAAATAAATGGTTGCTCTGAAGTGTTTTTCCTTATTTTTTCTCAGTTCTCCCTGTGTGCCTGCTTCATCTCAATGATACCCTCAATCACTCCTACCCCTACTCCCCATCCTGGACCAAGTTCTTGCAACTAATTCCTCTAATCAAGATGTGCAATTAACATACCAAGATAATAGCAATGGGTTAAATTCCTCACACATTTTCTTTTCTTAATCATGGAAGAATCCTAAAAGGAAGCAAAAATAGTCTCAAGATCCAAAGGTAAAAAGACCCTTATTTTTTTAACATTTTGGAAAGGAATGTTCTGAGATCAGACTATATAAAGCAGTAATGACAGGGTTAACACAATCTATTAGAGGCCTAATAATAGTTCTCTGATTCTAGTATGTGTTTTATCCAAATCTATATCTATCTATATCTATATCTATATCATCTATATCTATATCTAATCTATATCTAATTTCTTGATTTCAGAGAGGGAGAGAGGGAGAGAGAGGGAGAGAGACATCAATGATGAGAGAGAATCACTGATTGGCTGCCTCTTGCATGCCCCCTATTGGAGATTAAGCATACAACCCAGGCATGTGCCCTGATAGGGAACTGAATCATGTCATGACCTCCTGGTTTATGGGTGGATGCTCAACCACTAAGCCAGTGGTCGGCAAACTGCGGCTCGCGAGCCACATGCAGCTCTT